AGAATAGTGTCGAAGGCACTTGACTGCTAATCAGGAGGCTGGTGGTTCAAACCCACCAGCCACTCCTCAGAAGGAAGGTTGAACAATCTACTTCCGTAGTGATTCTGCCTCGGAAACCCAAGGAGGGGTCGCTATGAGTCGGGTCTGACTCGATGGCACATAACAACAAATCTCAAAGTAAAGATATTAGCACTAATAGCTTAATTCATATACCAGACTAAAAAGGAATAATTACCATAATTTATATCATAGACTAATGGGGCAATTACTGAATATACATCATAGATATGATAAAAACTACACAAATTTTAAATAGAACAATGTAAGGCCTTGCCTTCTCCATTTTAAAAAGTTTATTAGTATTTTTACTTTTAAGACAAAACCAGATTAAGTAAATTAGAAATTACCTTGACAGCCACTCCTTTTCCTTCAGGATATTCTAGAAGGTGAAAAGTCAGTTCTTCAACCCGATTAATGCAGAGCTTTGGATCAGTCGTTCTTCTTAATGCTTGAACCAATGCCCGGGTTCTGTTATCAATACTCACTCTTGCAATAATCTATAAATAAATATTAAATACATATGGTTAGAATATGAAACTAGACTGGTAATACCAATAAATGGCTGAAGTTTCTTAGGTCTTCTTAAGCAATTAAACATGTTATGCATCTGACAAAAATTAACAGAACTTAAAGCCACAATGGATGATGACTTGCCTTTTCTCGCTGAAGAGACAAACGGCTTTTCTCTTCTGCAACTTTGTCTTTTCTGTTAGCCAGCTCAGCTTTCATAGCCTCTTTTTCTTCAGACATACTTTTTGTATCCGGCTTCAATTTGGGGACAAGGACACCAATGTAGCCACCTACTAAAGCCTGTACACCTCCAGTTGGACGAGAAAGAAAGTTAGCGATACTTTGTTTAGTAGAAACTGGAACAACTCCAGGTGTCTCACTAGGACTTGCAGCCTCTAAAGAAGATTCCGAGCATGGCTTGTCATCAGTCGGGATACCTGGATCTGAAGAACTGAATATCCCGTCTCCTTCTACTGTTTTCTCTTCAAATTCTGATTTATCCTGGAAATGTTCAGTTTCCTTTTTTTCAGCCATTTTTCCCTTATGTAGGAAGTATGAATTAATATGGTTTGCTAAAAAGGAGAATGACTCTTCAAATTTTGTAGTGATACTACTTGTGTACTGAAAAAGACTCTGTATACCTAGATCTTCGTCTTTATCTATAATGTGACTTTTTCCTTCTGGAAAAGAACTCTTTGTTGCTGAAGGGTCACTATATTTTCTCAGCGTTTTGATGGCTTGTTTGATGTTTTTCTGATTTAACCAACCACTATCTGATACTTTTCTTAATATTCCAGAACTTGGCTTCAATTGAGCTAAACGTGAAATCATTTCATTTTGATTGCCAAAAACAGCCTTTGAAACACAGTGCAGAGTACTTTTAATACGGGACATACGAATGCTCACTTTTGTAAGTCCCTTAGGAGCAGAAGTGCTAAGTTTCAAGATTCCAATGTGTAAACCATGATTGCTTGGACGACAGCAGTGTTTGCTGCAAGAATGGGCTTCACTTTTAGTCCATTTACATCTTATTTTGCTTGTGTGCAAACTTCTTTGTAGAATGATGTGGCTTAACCTCCAGTAATATTTAGGTGAGCACAAGAAATGCGGCTGCTTGCTTCTCTGCTTCGCACACAGACTGCGTACATTACTAAGGAAGTAAATATATATATCTATTGTCAAATTAATAGACATCACTTAAAAAGCACTTATTTTCTATATTTATGACTTTTTCTCACTTCATTCCTGAATGTTCATTTAAGAAATGCCATAATTCATGATCTTACCTGAAATGGCAAGGAAAAAAAAAATTAGAATTCAAGGTAAAACTGAAATCAGGTATAAAATAAAATCCATTATTTTTTTGAATCTTAGCAACTTGCCTCAACAGAAGACAGAATAACCTATTTCCATTATGGCTGATACAGATTCATTTTTAAGCTAATAACAAAAGAGTTCACTATTCAGTATAGAACTCATTTGAAAAACAAACTGAGTACTAGGATGTTTTACAAGAACTAACTCAGGGAGGTTTCCCAGTAGCTAAGTTTCTAATGCAATACATAATTTTAAATGCAATTTTGATATCATGCTTTTTTTTTTCCTTTATTGCTAAATTCTTCACTAGTTTATATGACATTAGACTTTAGGTTCCCTGAAGACAAGGAACAGGTCATGGAGTTCACTCATTGCACCCCATTTATAGAAGACAATCTATACCAGACCTGTGCTAGCTGCTGAGGCCACAAAGGCAAACAGAATGCTAATAACCTTTCAGCCTACAGCAAGACAGACTCCCTATCTAGTCCCCAAGTGCTCAAAGAAATCAGGCTAGAGGAAACTATTTGTAGCATTTAACAGACAAGGGGTTGACAGCCATAAGCTACAAGGCACATCTACAAACAAGAAAGGAGAAAACAACTCAACAGAAAGCCAAACAAAAAACATCAACAGGCCAGTAGAACTAAGACAAACAGTGAGATTATCAAAGTATGTTTCTTCACATCAAAGAAAACTGCTGATTAAAACAGAAAACAAATTTTCTTTCTATCAACTGTCAAAAATTTAAATGACTGATAATACCCAGTGTTGATAATGGGCTGGAGAAATGGGACACAGGGGCTTTTTGACAGTACCTACCTAAAGAAATTTTAAATGCTATCTATCAAATTTAAATGCACATATTCTTGGACCTGCACTATTAAGAAGCTATCCTACAGAATAACTTTCACAAGAGTCCAAAGGTTCATACATGCATTCCCTGCAACACTGACTGAGATTTAATACAAATATATATATAAATGAAAATACCTAAATGTCTTTTTGCAAGGTTTGATTAAACAAATTATGATATATCAATAAAATGGAATTAGTTACCATATAACACTATGTAGCAGTTAAAGGAACTAGACAATCTGTGTATTTGGCATATTCTTCATACACCAACCCATGGCCACTGAGTGGATTCCAACTCAGAGACCCTACAGGACAGAACAGAACTGTCCCATAGGGTTTCCAAGGCTATAAACTTTGTAAGAACAGACTGCCAGTGTCTTTCTCCTGCAGAGTGGTGATCCACTTTTCGATTAGCAGCTGAGTGTTTAACTATTGTGACACCAAGGCTCCTTTCCTCATATACTTTAGACTGGAAAAGGCAAATTGCAGTACTATATATATATACTATATGGGAGCTCTGGTAGCATAGTGCCTAAGGCATTTGACTGCTAACCAGAAGGCTGGCGGTTCAAACCCACCAGCCACTCCTCGGAAGGAAGATGGGGCGATCTACTTCCGTAGTGATACTGCCTCCGAAACCCAAGGAGGGGTCGCTATGAGTTGGGTCCGACTTGACGGCACATAACAACAACAACATATACTATATACACATAGACTTATAGAGATAAGGAGTTCCTGGGTGATGCAAAAGGTTAAGTGCTTAAACAGCTAAGTGCTTAACTAGCCAAAAAGTTGGAGGTTTGAACCCACCCAGGGGCATTTCAAAAGGCAGGCCTGGCAATCTGCTTCTGAAAGGTCACAGCCTTGTAAACCCGATGGAGCACAGTTCCACTCTGCACACTTGGGGTCTTCATGAGCTAGAACTGAAACCATGGCAACTAACAACAACATAACAGAAAAACACAAAAACCCTACATAGGTGGTTTAAAAATGCAGAGATATATGTATATGAGAAAGCTCTATATAGATATATACATAGACAGACTGGTTGATTCTGAAAAGCTAAACATCTGATGGTTTATACATTCTTGTGCACTGAGGAGACCAAAAGAAAATGAATTGAAGAGCTTTGACTTTTTACTTTATTATTCCCTGAATTGTTTCTAATGAGCAGGTATTACTGTTATGATTAGAGAAAGCAAAGACTTAAAGCATTTTAACAGATGATACCATGTGAATGAAAGACATAAGGTCAGAGCAGATATCAAAGGAAGTCCAGAAAAGGAGGTTAAAAACTGAGGAAAGATAAAAAGGAATTCCTCACATAGTAGAGATGAGAAGGGAAGAAGAAAAGTCTAAATAAAGGGAGAAAAAAAAAAAAAAAAAAAGCAGCAGCAGCCTGTAAGAAAGCATATGCAATGTGATATTTAAAGTAGTCTATTTTCACTGCAGGACCTGGAGAGGTTATATGAAGGGGAGGTAGAAATTGACATTGAAAAGATAGTTTGGGGTCAGATTATAAAGGGTCTTACAAATCTGGCCAAGGAGAGGAAAGATCAAACGAAGTATTTTAAGCTAAGGAATGACATTGGAAAGGTGACTCCAGCAGCACACTGACGGATGAAGTAATGGGAAGTAACTGGGAAGGTGCAAACCAAAAACCTATTATAACTGTCCAAAAGATAACAGCTTGAATTAAAATCGTTCTTTGTAATTTGCTTATGCTATTATTTTAAAATGCCCAAGTGTACAGAGAGGAAGGAGCCCTGGTGGTGCAGAGGTTAAAGTGCTTGGTTGCTATCCAAAAGGTCGGCAGTTCAAACACTTCACAGGAGAAAAGACATGGTCATCTTCTGTTAAGATTCACAGCCTTGGAAACCCAGTGGGGCAGTTCTACTCTCCTCTACATGGTGACTGTTATAGTTGTTGTTGTTATGTGCCCTCGAGTCGGACCCGACTCATAGCGACTCCTCCTTGAGTTTCCGAGGCAGTATCACTGTGGAAATAGATCGCCCCATCTTCCTTCCAAGGAGTGGCTGGTGGGTTTGAACCGCCAGCCCTCTGGTTAGCAGTCAAGTGCCTAAGGCATTATGCTACCAGAGCTCCTATATTTTTTAAATATGGCTGCTATGATTTGGAATTGACTCAACGGCAATGGATGGGTACAGAGAGGAGAAGAAAACAAGAGAAACCAGGCTGGGGCTGAGGCTGTCTACCTTCCATGCTCTTCTGAGCTCCTTAGAACTTGCAAGCAATGCTATAAACTGAGTTAACATAAAATTCCTTCAACTTCCAATGTACAGAAATATTTGACAAAATACAGCAAAAAATAATCTTGTATAAAAAGTTACGCTCCAAATTGAGAGGAGGAAATCACTGGGTTCAAGAGGAACCCCAGATCTGGATCTGTAGTCACACTAGCCTCATTATGCAAATGAAAACTGGTCAGACAGGGAGAACTCCACAGTACCTCAGCAGAATCACCTGAAACCACCATGTGAGGACACCCCACAGCTCAGAGGAAAGTCAACTCTGGCACACAAAACTATCACCACTGAAGATTAACTCACAATCAAAGATTTAAAAACATGCAAAGAAATGAACTACCATCTTGAAAGAGCATCATCAAGTATTTGTTGTTTTTATGTGACATCGAGTGGGACATGACTCATAGCGACCCCTCCTTGGGTTTCCGAGGTGGTATCACTACGGAAATAGATTGCCCAACCTTCCTTCCGAGGAGTGGCTGGTGGGTTTGAACCATCAGCCTTCTGGTTAGCAGTCAAGTGCCTTTGGCACTATAGACAACAGGAAAATGTACAACCAAGATTTAGCATTAACAGAAAATTAAATAGGTTTAAAATGTTCAAAGACACAATAGAAGGAATAATAATAAAGAGGCAAAAAGAAAACTTTACAAAAAGTGGATAAAAACAAAATTTTAGAAATAAAAAATCCAGCTACATGCTAGTTACAATACATACTTATAATGACAAAGAAAAGTTGAAATAAACACATGAGGAAAATGATACACCAGGTCAATACTAACCAAGAGAAAATAAAAGACATTTTAAGACAAATTTAAGGCAAAATGTATTAAATAAGGATTAAAATGGGAATACGATATAACAAAAAGTATAATTTATTTACTCACTAAACTTCAGGTAGAATTCTGGGCTTTGAAGAACAAGACAATTTATAAACAAATATATAAATAACTAATGTAATGTATAATGTCAGGTTGAGAAGTGCCATGCGTGGGGTAGGACACAGAGGGCACTATTTCAGATGGTGCCATCAGGGAGGAACTTAGTTGACATTTTAGCAATGACCTAAATGAAGTCCAGAAGCAAATCATTCGAAGAATCTTAGGGGAAAAAATAAAACATTCTAGGCAGAGAAAAAGCAACGAAAGCCTTGGCAACAGGAATGAGCTTTGGTACATTTAAAGAATAGCAAGAACAATAAGATAGCTGAAGGGAAGTGAGGAAGGGAAAGAATGCTAAAGATGGGAGTAAGAGTTAGGCAGAAGACAGAGGAAAGTAGGCCTAGAATATAGTGAAGAGTCTGTACTGTCTTTCCAATAAAATACAGCCATCATGGCTACTTATAAAGATACTTATCAACTTGGCACACTGAAAGATTAAAAAAAAAAAAAAAAACACAACTCACTGCTATCAAGTCGATTCGGACTCATAGAGACCCCCTCCAGGTTTCCAAGGCCGTAAATCTTTAAGGAAGTAGGTTGCCCAGTCTTCCTTCCACGGAGTGGCTGGTGGGTTTGAACCTCCAACCTTCTGGCTAGCAGTCAAATGCCTTAGGCACTACACCACCAGAGTTCCTTTTGAAATATATAACACAAAACATGGGCATAGTTATAGAAAGACTAGACATCTACAGACAGGATCATGACAGATTTTAATATACCTCTCTCAGAAACTGCAATAATTAAGCACAAATTACTGAAAACAGAAATCTGATCAAAACAACAAACTTAACTGCTCCCAAATCACACCAGCAGTGAATTCTAGATAAGAGTTTTGAGAGTAAATGCAGAAAGAACAAAGTTGGGTTGCAAGATAGGGAGAATAATGCCATTGTCAACTGAGAAAG